ATGTCCATAGTTGATGAGGACAAAGTATTATTTAATTGAGACATGGTGATTAAGTGTCATGTGTGATCACCTGAGTTCCCAATCGTCAATCAAAGCATTCATTTGTATTTATCCAGTTCAGCGATGTCCCGAACAACCAGAACCTTTGCTTCCTTCGGAGCTCCATTCAGTTTAATGAAGATCTTACAATTTGTTGTCCATGTTGACTGGCTCTTTTTCTGCTTTCCTAGAAACCGGGCCTTTCTGGCAATGTCAGCATTCTTCTTAGTCAAGTGCTCATTAATAAATACGTCGGATCCTTTCAACAATCTGTTTGTTTTAACAAAGCAAACTTGTATTTCCTATTTGTGAATCTCACGATAATGGCAGGTTTATCTTCTTTTCCCCTTCTCGGAAGCGGGTGGCATGCTTCCACAGTGTCACATTCCACTTCTATCCCCTTGGTTCGGAGGAAAGAAGCCACTTGTTTCTCTGTGGCATCAAGCACTTCAACTGATGGTTCACCAGCAGGACTGGGTGCAGCAACTGCGTTGGCATACGAACAGGGCTTGACTCCAAGTCCAGTGATGATCACATCATTTATCCTATTGTATTGCTCCAAGTCGGCTACTCGGTTCTCCAGTACAGCGATCCGTTTGTCCTACATCATTTATCCTATTGTATTGCTCCAAGTCGGCTACTCGGTTCTCCAGTACAGCGATCCGTTTGTCCTTTTCCTCCACTAGGATCAGGCTCCACCAGACCAGGCCCAGGCTTTAGCAGGCTCTAGCTCTGCCTGTCCCAGCTACTTCCAAGCCCAGCCACCACCAGGCCCAGGCCCTGCCTGGCCCAGGTTCCATCAGGCCTTGGTTTCATCGGGCCTAGGCTCCACCAGGCCTCACCAGGCACAGGCTACCTTGTACAGGATACACAAGGCCCAGACTGGCTAGTCAATTTGACTGGTGAAAATTTATGGTAGAATGGGACCTAAGAAGACTCGAGCATCGGGGGATCTTGATGACATTAAGAATTCCTTGGATGTTCTTTCTGAGGAAGTAGCAGCTATACGGCTCCATCAAAAAAACAATTTGGAACTGGTAAAAGAAGTGAAGTCGTTGAGACTTCTTAATCAAGTCAAGTCAAGTCAGATTTATTTATAGAGCACATTTAAAACAGAAACTGTTACCAAAGTGCTTAACAAAAATATCACATAATCAAATAAAAAGTAGCAAGATATATTTACAGCACGTGGAATAAAAATATAAAACCAAAAACAATTAGAAACAATGAAATACTAAATCAGATTGCGTTGTTTCAAAAGTCAAGGAAATAATAACAAAAAGCATAAACTCAGTCAGAAACAATGAAATACTAAATCAGATCAGATGACCTTGTGTTAAATAGGAATAATAACAAAAGCATAAACAGAATCAGCATCAATGAAAAACTAGATCTAAAGCTGATCACCCTGTGTTAAATGTCAATGAGTACATATGTGTTTTTAGGAGAGATTTAAAAGCAGAGACTGAGGTGGCCTGTCGAATGTTGATGGGCAGATTGTTCCAAAATTTAGGGCCCACGACTGAAAATGCTCGATCTCCTCTGATCTTCAGCTGGTTTTTGGTACGGCCAAAAGCAGCTGGTCTGATGATCTCAAAGCCCGAGAAGGAGCATAAGGATTAAGAAGGTCAGAGAGGTATGATGGTGCAAGGCCGTTAATGCACTTGAATGTCAGCAGGAGAATTTTAAAATCAACTCTGACACGCACAGGAAGCCAGTGAAGAGAGGACAGAACCGGAGTAATGTGCTCAAACCTGCGAGTTCCTGTTAGTAGCCGAGCTGCAGCATTTTGTACGAGCTGGAGACGTGAGAGTGAAGCCTGACTGACCCCAACATAAAGTGAGTTACAGTAGTCCAGCCGGGAAGTAATAAATGCATGGACTAGTTTTTCAAGGTCAGATCTGGACAGAACGGACTTAAGCTTTGCTATTTGCCTTAACTGAAAGAAGCTTTTTTGTAGAACAGAGTTGATCTGTTTATTAAACTTAAAGTCCGAGTCTAACACTACCCCGAGATTGGTAACCGACTGCTTTAGATTAGGCTGAAGGGAGTGCAGGTTTACAGGATCAGTAACAGTGGTAGAACTTGGGTTAAACACAATGACCTCAGTCTTCTGATCATTAAAACTCAAGAAGTTTGCAGCCATCCAAGTCTCGATGTCATCAAGACATTTTAGCAAATGGTGGATGGAACAGGAACTGTTTGGTTTTAAAGGCAGATAGATCTGAGAATCATTAACGTAACAGTGAAACGAAATACCATGTTTCCTCAGGATTGACCCCAAGGGGAGCAGATACAATGAGAACAGAAGGGGTCCAAGAATGGAGCCTTGTGGGACCCCACAGGAAAGAGGGACAGAAGCAGAAAAATGATTGTCAAAGTTAACACAGAAACTTCTGTCACCCAGATACGAACGGAACCATTCTAGCGCCACCCCTGTAGTCCCAACCCAGTGCTCTAGCCGTGACATAAGGATGCTGTGATCAACAATGTCAAATGTAGCGGTAAGGTCGAGGAGTACCAGGATCACAGACTGACCAGTCATTCGCTAGCAGAATGTCATTACAGACCCTTACTAAAGCTGTCTCGGTGCTGTGCAGTTGTTTAAATCCTGACTGAAAAATCTCAAAAATTCCATTTACATTCAAAAACTTGGTTAGTTGACTAAAAACTATTTTCTCCAAGATTTTAGAAAGAAATGGAAGTTTTGAGATTGACCTGAAGTTTGAACAAGCTGCAGGGTCAAGTCCGGGTTTTTTAATTAATGGAGTTACCACTGCATGTTTTAAAACATTGGGGACCACACCTGTAGCCAAACTGCTGTTAATAATGGCAAGAACAGAGGGTCCAGTTGATGGTAGAACCTGTTTAAAAAAATGCAGCGGGGATGGGATCAGCAGGGATGGGATCAGCAGGGGAGCCTGAGGGTTTCATGTGACCAACGACCTCAATTAAAAATGAGAGTGAGATGGGGTCAAAGTGACTGAAGACTGCTGAGCAGGGGACAAGAACTGAAGGGTCGGCTGTGGAGTGTGGAATTGATGACCTAATCGACTCAACCTTTTCAACAAAATGCCTGACAAACTTATTACAGGTGTCAACAGAGGCCTCAATGGTGGCAGATTGAGGCACGTTTAGAATGGTGTTAATGGTGTTGAAAAGAACGCGGGGGTTGTAACTGTTTGAGTTGATCATTTTTGAGAAATATTTGTTTTTCTCCTGTTTAACGGTGGTCTGATAGGCTTTCCAACATGATTTTAACACATCAAAAGACACCTGAAGTTTATCTTTTTTCCATCGACGTTCAGCTCTTCTGCACAAGCGTCTTGCCCCTCGTGTAGTCTCATTTACCCAAGGGTGGGGCATGCGTTTTCGATTCCTGAGCTTAATGATTAATGAGGCTAGGCCTAGTGAAGCCTGGGTGTGGTAGCTGGTGTGGTAGCTGTCAGTGGATCCAAGGCTCTGCTGCTGGGCTGTTCTGCTCTGCATTTACATCCCACAATAAAATGTTTAAGAAAAACAGCAACAAGATCTAAGATACGAACTAAGAAAAACATCAACCAAATATACACTAAGCATAAAAGCAATATGCCGAAGTGGATATTAAAGTAATTAAATGGCTTCAAACATCTGCTAAGTTCATGGTAAAAAAACACATGTTCTTGTTTAGTATTTTACATCACTTTGTAATGTAGCCGTTTTTTTTTTTTTTTTTTTTTGTAATAATTTTTTTTTTTTTTCAGTTCATATGTTTTTTTTTTATGATTGTCTACTGTTGTACTGATAAATATCTCCTGGAGGGTAAAAGTAAACTATATCTTGGCTGCAAGTATTCAATCAAGCTGTGAAGCAGACAGTCTGATTCGGATCAGCCGCGTTCAGTCTGTTCCTCCTCCGAGACGGGACAGACTGAGTGCGGCTGCCCAAAATTACACTGCCTGCTTCGGACTGAACGAGAGGAACACACCGCTGAAGCCATGGAGCTCAAACGTCCAACGTAAAACTAACTTTACCACGGTGCCTGGCTAAACAATCCTCATGCTCTTTAATTTTGTGCTTTTTCAAATGTTTATTAAGTTTGATGTGTTGTAGGTCAGAACTGAGCTTCCTCTTCTCGGTACAACCGCTCTGCAGATTTTGCACGTTGTTTTCTTGTGGTGTTTAAAGTGTAAAATACTTCCACACAGCTGACATGTTACAATGAAAAGTTGGTTAGCTGTTAGCCACAGTGCTGCTCACAGTCCTCACGTATTTACTCAAGTTTTAGCTGGCTGTAAACTATGAAATGGATTTCCTGAATGTGAGGCAGGTCTTATTACTCTGGGTTTCATGAGACACGCCTCCTTTCAGGAAATCCATTCCATAGTTTGAAGCCAACTTGCAGAGCAACTGACAGGGAATCACATGTGGAGACATTTCAACAGACACAGACATGCATCATGGATCGGAAATCTCTGTAGGTTGGATCAGAAAATTCCGATATGTAAATTATGCTGGTATCGGAGGCCAATACAGATAACTGTTCAGATCGGCCCCATCTCTACTTTTAAGTATCTCTACTCCAAATCTATAATAACTTCCAACACTTTAATAGGCTTCGACCTTTAAACGGATGCTGGCGTTTTTTACGTTTAACCTGTGAAAAGGGGGCGGAGTCTGTCACTTGTTAAATGGTGGGGGCGTTTAAATTTAGATCTGATGCTTTTTAATGGTTGGGAGGAAAAATAAGTTGGAGAAAATTGGTTTCTGTTTTTTTGTCATTAAAATTTCTGCTCTAGAAGCTCATAAATGAACTGAAGTCTGACTTCTTGCTTTTTGTTTGCTTTAAACTGAAACACAATTTGTTCTAAAAACCAAGAAGAAAACTAATTTCTGTTTTAATAGATTTAACTCAAACGTGTCCATGTCCACCTGTTTTTTTTTTTTTTTTTTGTTGGACCTCGTCTCATTTCGGTGTCCAGATGAGACGAACAGAGACTCGGTCACAGCGATCCAGAGGAGCATCTTCACCCTGTGTCTGGACCGAGCTGGGCCTCATGGGTCCGAGGAGACGTATCGCAGCTGCGCAGCCATCCAGATGTTGCACGGTGGAGGCAGCCCGGGTAACAGCGGAAACCGCTGGTTCGACAAAACGCTGCAGGTGACGTTTATCAAACGGGTTCTGTCGTGACCCAATACATAAAATGGCTCAGTTCTGGTTTAATGTTTGTTCGTGTCACTCTTCAGTTCATCGTCGCTGAAGATGGAACATGTGGAGCGAACTATGAGCATGCTCCGGCTGAGGGCCCGCCTATCGTGGCGCTGATCGATCACGTGGTGGAGTACACGTGAGTATGGGTTCTGAACGCTTGGAGCTCTGTTGTTCTGAAGGTCTTCCAATTGTCAACAGTCTTCCATTTTGCCACACTCCATTTTAAATGATCCCTGGCCCAGTGCAAACATCTGAGCTTGTGGAGCTTGCTTAGAAATGGGCTTCCTCTTTGCACTGTATAGTTTCAGCTGGCAATGGCGGATGGCATGGTGGATTGTGTTCACTGACAATGCTTTCTGGAAGTATTCCTGAGCCCATTCTATTATTTCATTGAGAGTGGCATTCCGGTTTGAGGTGCAGTGATGTTTAAGGGCCCGGAGATCATGAGCATCCAGTAGAGTTTTACGGCCTTGACCCTTACGCACAGCGATTGTTCCAGATTCTCTGAATATCTTGATGATGTTATGCACGGTTGATGATGATAATTTAAGTCTTTGCTATTTTACGCTGGTTAAGACCATTCTGGTATTGTTGCACTATCTTTCTGCGCAACAATGGTGGAATTGGTGATCCTCTTACCATCTTGACTTCTGAGAGACACCGACACTCTGAGAAGCTCTTTTTTTACCCAATCATGTTTTCAGTTGACCTAATTAGTGTTAATTGGTCTACCAGCTGTTCGTTATATGCTCAATTTCCTTTTTTCCAGCCACTTATTGCTACTTGTCCCAACTTTTTTGGGATTTGTTGACACTGAAAATTTGAATCAACATATTTTTCCTTTAAAATGTTATATTTACTCAGATTAAACTTTTGATCTATCATCTGTTATATTACGAATGAAATATTGACATTTGCCATCTCCACATCATTGCATTCAGTTTTTATTCACAATTTGTTTAGTGTCCCAACTTTTTTGGAATCCAGTTTGTATGTATGTATATGTATATATATATATGCGTGTATGTATGTATGTATATGTATATATATAT